AAACAAATAATAATAATAATAAAAAAAGAAGCCAACAACCAGTGTTTCAGCTGGATTGCTATCCTGCCTCTGCAGAAACTTTCAGAGAAGGACAGACAGACTGTAAACTCCCATCATGCATAGGAATAGGAAGAACAGATCTTTCCTGAGGCATCCAGCAGCTACTTTTTGCCATGAATTCTGAATATTAATCCCAGTGTGTTGTGGTTTTTCTTATAGTTAGTCTGATGCATGTACTCTGCTAATCATATAAAACTTCAAAGTTTTAAAAATAATTATTTTTGCCAATAATACCGTGTAGAAGGCAGCTTAATAATTAGCTATTAACTGCATAGCAAAGTATTTCTGTTAAACTGTCATCTGCTGCTTTTTTAATTTGTGTGTCTCTGTTTCTGCTTGGTAATGAAAGATAAATAAGAGAGCTTCAACAGTTTGTTCTCAAATCAAATCTTAACTGCATGTCCTTTGACCTGCTCTCCAAAATACAGGAAGCTATAATGTCTATTTTCATTCTCCCTCTCCCAACCCTTGACTCCTGCTATCTGTAGTTTCATCTTCTCCCTAAATCCCTTTTCATCTTTGCTTCTGTCTCTCCCAGCTATCATTCCTATCTGTAGGCTGTCTGTTGTAGAATTAATCAGATAAGCTAATCAAAATGCTGAGATTAACATAAAGTTCCGTCAATTCTATCTCCTGTTTTTATGAAGAAATAAACAGTTAAAAAATAACTGTAACGTAATTGGTAATACATTTACTTATAGAATCATAGAATCTTTTGAGTTGAAAAGGACCTTTAAAAGTCATCTAGTCCAACTGTGATGAACAGGGACAGGCCCAATGAGGTGCTCAGAGCCTGGTCCAGCCTGACCTTGAGTTTCTCCATGGACGGGGCACTGCCACCTTTCTGGGCAACCTATGCCAGTGCCTCACCACCCTTACAGTGAAAACCTTCTCCTTATGTCCAAACTGAGTCTCTCCTCTTTTAGTTTCCCCTTATCCTATCACCACAGACACTACTCAAGAGTCTGTCCCCCTCCTTTTTATAGCCCCCCTTTCTGTATCTACCAACGGGCCGCTCTCAGCTCTCCCCACAGCCTTCCCTTCTCCGTGCTGCACAGCCCAGCTCTCAGCCTGTCCTCGCAGGGAGGTGTTCCATCCCTCACATCGTTTTTGTGCCCTCCTCTGGATGCGCTCCAACAGCTCCGTGTCTCTCCTGTGCTGAGCACTCCCCATCTGGACGCAGCGCTCCAGGTGAGCTCTCACAGCACGGAGCAGAAGGGCAGATCCCCTCCTCGCCCTGCTGGCTGTGCTGCTTTGGATGCTCCCAGTGCACAGTGCTGGCTCATGCCCAGCTGCCATCCTCCAGTACCTCCAAGTCCTTTTCAACAGGGCTGTGCTCCATCCTTACATCTCCCAGCTTGTACAGATAGCAGAGGTTGCCACAACCCAGGTGCCAGACCTTGCACTTGGCTTTGTTGAACCTCATGTGATTCTCTTGGGCCCACTGCTCAGCCTGTCTGGGTCTCTCTGGGTGGCATCCTGTCTCTCGGGCCTGTTGGCTGCTCCACACAGCTTGGGGTCATCTGCAAACTGCTGAGGGTGCACTCGATCCCACTGCCAATATCACTGATGAAGATGTTATAGAGCGCAATTTATTGCTATTTATAAACTTTTGAGGTTTAGTAATGGGAGAAACAACAGTTTCTAGATACTCACTATCTGAAGCTCTCTCTTGCAAGTAAAAATACAACTTACAAAAGTTAGAAAGTCAGCTTTGTGCTGTTAGGGCAAAGGTAGAGTCACAGAATCCTGATGTAGATTTTGCCTTGACTTTATGCGAAAACCATGAGTTTAGCCTAGTAACATCAGAAAGCTCAGTGAGAACACTGTGTCCCACATTCTATAGCATTTTTCTAATCCAGTATTAGACATTACAATGAGAACACGTTAGCTAATTATAAATCATTACCTCCTCTTGATCAGGTAGACAGTAGTCAGAATCCCCTGTTGTCCAAGGCCACCATAACTCATCTAAACACAAAGCTCTGATTATCCTGCAAGATCTCAGTTGTACTTAGTTAAGGAAGGCTTGGGAAAGCATCTGGTATGACCTTGGTTAACATGGAGTCACGGAGCATCCCAACTAAAGTATGTGAACTACTTGCAAGGCATTCATATATACATGAAGCCAAATAAAATCATACTAAGATAGACTGGGTTCACTGTAAGAAAGAAACAGGGATGAAGCCTCTATGACATTCTCCAACATCTGCATGGTATGGTCACTGTACCATTTGTGTCCAAAAATATCACCATGAGTCCAACTAACTAAGCAAAAAAAAATGAAGTGTGTGTTGACAATGCTAATAGTACTGATAGTACAGATATAGTACAGATCATCTTTTTTTTTTAACAAAACATTCTGAGATGAGGCTGTGAAGCCACCATTTTATTCAGGATGAGGTGCTCATCCAACTGGCTGTTCATGGAAATGAGAGACTGCCCTATGCCCCCTTCATTCCTGGTTATTTGTGTCTTCTCTTGTCCTAACATTATAATGTTAAATGTAATTTCTTTCATGTTTTTTCAGTACATCATCATCAGAGGTGGCAGATAGCAGGAATACAAAGCTGGAGGGACAGGAAGAACTTGGTGAGAGCAAGTGAACAGAAACAGAAGTGAACAGTAAAGCTTTGAAGGTAACAAAGCACTGGAACAGGTTGCCCAGAGAGGTTGTGGAGTCTCCTCCTCTGGATATTCAAAACCCACATGGATGCTTTCCTTTGCAACCTACTGTAGGGAACGTTCTTCAGCGGGGGGGTTGGACTGACGATCTCCAGAGTTCCCTTCCAACCTTTGTGATTCTGTGACTGCAGGACTGTGTGAATGCTGTGTTAAAAATGGGCTGGAGATAGGTAGAGCACTAAAAAGATAAGTAGCTTTTAACCAGAAAGGCAAATTATTGCCCTATGGGGACAAACTTTTCACAAGTATCTTGGAATTCTAATGTTCACATACCTGCCTGTAACTGTCAGGTCTGCTGTGCTTACTGGAGGGCATTTGAGAGAGGTGTGCTCTACAGTAAAGCCCAGCTGTTGTTTGTGGTCTCAATTCTGAATCTGAAAATTCCTGCCTCGGTGAGCTGGGTGAGTTACTTCCACTGATATTTAAGTTTCTACATCTGCAAGAAAAGAATACAATTCTGCTTCAGAGAGATGTTTAGAGGAATTCATAGATAATATTTGTAGAGTGCTTTGAGCTCAGAGTGCAATAGATACAAAGATGGCATTTATGTTCCACATATCTCTACAGATAACCACTTATTTCTTCAAAGAGATAAAGTGACAACAGCCTAACAACCTAAGCAGGGAACATTACAAGCCACCCCACAGCCTGGTCTCTACCCCTGCCTGAGCTGAAATAGACTCCATCTCCTGGGAGTAATTCACATAAGGGAGCACACAAGCAGCAGACAATGTATGCACCCAGAGGTAAGGAGTCACATTTATGCTGCTAAGGTAATGCAAGTGTTTAATGCTTCATGAATATGATGCCCTTTTATTTATATGTGTCTTTGGCTTCCTTCAGGAGTAGTGGTTTGAATTGGTGATGTTCTTTAGTGATGTGTGCAGTCACCTGCCAGTGTCTTACATGAGCACTTACCTGAGCTACATCCAGTGTCAGTGGCTGATTCTTCTGCAAATGCAAAGCCAAGTGCTTTCAGTATTATCCCTAAAGCAACTGAATGGAGAACAAAAACCCACCAGCTTGAGATTAAGAAAAAAAAGAGACAGTGAAGGACCAAAGGAAAGTGACCTGCTGAAATTAGAGGAAAAGGAACATTAAGCGGAGAACAGTCTTCCCTGGGCCTGGGAGGTGGACTGAGCGACCCAGTATCTCTTTTCTATTTCCATCTCGCACAGTGAGCCTCAAAGCAGCAAAAAGAAAAGAGCTGCAGGATCCTTCCAGTGAGGTGTCAGAGAGAGCAGGGTGCAAGACGAGCAGTCAGGGAACCAATCTCCAAGCAGAGGCACACCAGCTCCCTAAGTGCCTGTGCACTGCTGCCGGCACACGGTCGGAGGCAGTGGGTGTCTGCCTGCAGCGCTGCCCCGTGCCCGCTGCTAGGCCACAACTCGGCAAGGCACCTGGGAGAGATGCTCCCAGTTTGTCTTTCTCCGGCACGAGGGACAGCAGGGAGACTTTGCCGGATTTCATTCCAGGGGATGGCCTCATCCCCGGCTTTAGCGCTCTGCGGGTGGATGAATGCAGGAGCCCTCCCCGCAGCGCTGAGCACCGGAGCGGGATGAGGGCAACTCCGGCTCGGGGCGGGCAGCTCCGGGAGAGCTCCGTCCGCCCGACCGCCCCAGCCCCGCCGCCCCGCGGCGCCCCAGCCGTGCCCGGGCGGGACCCCGGCCGCCTCCCCTCCCCGCACCCTCGCCCCGCTCTTCTCTACGCGGCCCCGGCTCTCCGCCTCCTCCCCTCCCCTCAGGCAGCGCACGCCCCGCACTCACACTCACACACACACGCACACACACACGCAGCGGCGATGCAGCTTTAAAGGGACAGCCGCAGCCCGCGGACCGGCCCTCGCGAGGCCGCGCAGCTCCCACCGAGCGCAGCCCCGAGCGGTGCCGCCCCGAGCGGCCGGGAGACGGCGGGGGCCGGGCGGGCCGAGGGCTGCGCGCCCGCCTCCCGCCAAGTTTGATCGATCACCCCCTCCCGGGCCGGCTCCGCTCCCCCCATCTTTGGGGGGGGGCCCCGGGGGGGGGGGGGGGGGGGGGGGGGGGGGGGGGCTGCCGGAGACGGGGGAGAAAGGCAACCTGACAGCCAATGAGCCCTGCCCGGCTGGGGTGAAGGCAGGAGGAGAGGGAGCTGAGGAAGGGAAAGGAAAAAAAAAAAAAAAAGAAAAAAGAAAAAAAGAAAAAAAAAGAAGAAGAAGAAGAAGAAGGGAAGCAAGGAGGGGAGCATCCTTTCACTACCTCCACCAGCATCGCCTCCACCATTGACACCGCTCCGCGCCTCCGCTCGCGCCCATCCATGCCCGTGCCGCCGGTTCGGTGTTAGGGCTGAACCGCAGCGGCTGAAGAAAATGGGGCAGCGCGCGGGCCGGGCCGTGCTGCTGCTGCTGGCGGGGCTGCTGGGCGAGGCGCGGGCAGGATTCCCCAACACCATCAGCATCGGTAAGCGCTCCGCCGCACCGAGCGGCGCCGGGCAGCGTGGGGAGACGGGGAAAGGTCCGCGCCCGCCGCCGGGAGCGGTGTACGGCGGTCCCCGCGATGCGTTCCGTCCGCCTCTCGGCGACGCGGGGTTCGCTCCGTGCTCCTGCGGAATCGCGCCCTGAGGCAGCGCATCCCGTGCCGCGGAGCGCTGAATGGCGTGGATCCGCAGCGACGTGCCCCGAACCTGCGGCCGAATGAGCCTCGGGGCCGTGCGTGCGAGGAAACTTGCCTTTTTTTTTTTTTTTTTTTTTTTTTTTTTTTTTTTTTTTCCCTTCCTCCCTGACGGGAGCGCTCAGCCGTGCGCGCTCATCGAGCCCCGCTTCCGCACGGCTGGCAGTCCGCACCGCGCCTCGCCCACCCCGCACCCCGCCTGCCCGTGCCACGCAACCCTCCGGCGGAGCTCCGGAGGTCCGCACCGCCGCTCCCGGGCTGCGCCGCCCCGTCCCCCGCGGGCATCGGCGGTGGCCGCGTCGCGGTGCTGCAGCTCCGGGTGGCTCCGGGGCACCGGGCTGCGATGTGCGTGAGCCTCGCAGCCCAACTTCAGACTCGGAGCAGCGTTCCGTGCGCGCCCTGCCATAGCTGCACGCTCGTAGCTTGGTGCTGTCCGTTCCCCGCCGTGATGCGCGATATGCAAATGTAACTTACTGCCGCTGCCTGCGCTAACAACCCGCTCTGAAATGCCTTCTTCCTTCTCTTTTTTTTCTGCTTTCTCCTCTCTTAGGTGGACTTTTCATGAGAAACACTGTTCAGGAGCACAGCGCGTTTCGGTTTGCTGTGCAGTTATACAACACAAACCAAAACACCACCGAAAAGCCCTTCCATCTGAACTACCACGTAGATCACTTGGATTCTTCCAACAGTTTTTCAGTGACAAATGCTTGTAAGTAAATACGTGCTTTTAAGAAATACGTTTCTTTGTTATCTGTTATTACATTCCCTTTGCCCCTGGCAGCCTGGAGTACTCCTTCGTGTGATACAGCGCAACAAATGTGAGTGCTGCCGTCAGGCTCCGTGGATTTGCAGCATTATGTGGTTGAATAATACCTTAGGGAAAGTTCCCTCACCACTTCTTTTCTCGTTTTTAGTTTTATTTTCCAGAAAAACAACCAGGCTGTGCATATAGCATCACTGTGCAGCTGTGATCAGTGGATTGCCACTGAGGTAGCATCTCTTCTCTGCTGAGGCTCCAGCCTGGCTGTTTGCAAATAATACTGTGTAGGAATAAAACAGGAGCAGCTGATCAAAAATGACCTTCAGAAACAGAAGCAGAGGGGCTTACATACCTCCTCTGCCCTGAAATATTAGCTTCTTTCCTTACAGTGAAGTCCTGTTAAAAGCTGAGAAGTCTGTCAAGTGATGACTGTCTTTAGAGCTGAGGGGAGAGAGATGGAATCAGAATGCTTAGCATCATGTGAAACAGCTCTGCATGAGAAATGAATCTGTATAATTTGAGCCTTTATTAACAAAGGAAACAAAATAGAACTTTGAGTGGTGGAAATGTGTTAAAATGCCAAATCCCATTCTGAAAGACCAGTGCGTGTTCTGCATTTAAATAAGCATTCCTTTATCAGAAGCGGTTCCTGAATATGTGTTTTACTGATGTGTCTATATTCAGTTTTATGCAGTTTTTATCATAGGCTTTTGAAAATGAATGGAGTCCCCTTGCAAGGTAGTTGCAGCACACAGCACATGATCCAAAGGACCTCTGAGTGCAGTGTACTAACTTTGTGCTACAAACAAGATTCCTGTTTGTACACTCGCAATATTGCATTTTCAAAGAGGAGGCATTGCAGTGAGATACTGCACTGAAATGTCAGCGTACTGAAAATCTCCTATTTTAAAACAATTCCACGTTTGAATGATCTTTTTCAGTTTTGTTTGTCGGGGTTAGGATTGTTCTTATCATTTCCTGAGTATTCTTCCTCGGTATTTGAATTTTCCAAGAAATGTGGTGGCTGTGAAGTACACCACAAGGAAATTCTTGGGTAACTTTTGGGTTGACACTCTAATGTATCCCCCATGTGACTGCTTCATGTTAATGCAGCACTACACTTTTTAAAGGGCCTTGAAGTAGGACCTTTAAAAGTTGGGGGGGTGGGGGGGGTAATTATATCCAATTAAAATATTTGTAAAGTAGAAAAAAATAGGGTAAATAAAATTGTGTCTGTACTTTGCATCTTATTTTACTAATCCCATCCTGCCTCAACAGCTCTTACAACAAACATCTGACTATTAATCCTTAATCAGTGTAATCCCTTCAAGAGGGCTGTATCTCACACATAGTTTCCTAAATATCAATTATAAGGATTTGAACTAAATACATTAAACTGCTCGACTGATTAGTGATTGTTTTTTAAAAGTTCTCCCAGCACTTCTTCACAGATCCCACCATGACCAGTGAACCACACGCGCCTTCAGAGACAGCCCATGTATTATTTAGTCAGCGTGCTTCTCGTCCTGTGACATCTAATGATTTTTGTCATTGCTTAGTGAAAGCTGGGCTGGCTGTAGCAGGATGAGCTGGTTTTCTGTAGAACAGGGCTGCATATTCCAACACGTATATTACCAGTGTAGTAAAATTTGGGAAACTCAAACCTCTGGAGGAACCGTAGACCGGAGAATACCAACCTACAGTAACCTATTTAAAAATAGAAGATGTGAAAAATGAAGCAGAAGAAAGAGAATGAAAAGGTGACCTTGGCCATAGCTATGTTAACCATCTGGTAACAGTGTTGGTAAGAAAATAGTACCGTGAATGGAAGTCACTAGGCTGATAGGTCTCAGTAGCTGAAATTAGAAGAAAGAAAGAAAGAAGGAAGTAGAACAGTTGCTCTTGCTAGATCTGCAAGCAATTGTCTTTGAAGATCAGAACACTCATACGTATCAGTGCATTGGGATGAATGAATTAAGCCCCTCATGCTACATGGCTAACATGTAAAAGGTGCTGGCTCCCAAGCCCCTAATCCTATCCTCGCTTCCTCCTGGAGTGGCAGATAATTTCAGGGTGCAGCCACGAAGGAATTCTTCCCACAACATTTTTGCTTCTCTTGAAGATAAGCATAAATTGTCTCCGGTGCTGTCACACAACCTTTTGATCAATATTTGCAATTGGCAGAAATCCATGTGAGAGAAAGCTGCAGTGACTCTGTCTGCACCAGAGACAAAGGCTGTGACTGACTTTGTGATGGGATATATAATGAAGCTGAAGGGAAATCAGGCAAAGTAGCCTATGCGGGTTGAGCTTAGTGCCTCTGCAAGGCCATATCCATCAACTAATAATTTGTATTCTTTTCTCTGTGTTGTACAGTACTAGCTGTAGTAAGTGTCCATGTGTGTAGGAACTGGGCTCTGCTCAGAAGAGACTTAGGTTTTTACTGTACTACTGCACATCCCACTTGCTGCAATCTGGTGCATTCCCGAGGCAGGAAAAAAAATCTCTTCTAAAGTGTCCTCATGAGCCAGAGATAAAAGGCCCACCTCCAGTAGGCTTGATTTGGCAGTATCCCAACATGAGAGCAAAGTTGTTTAGAAGCAAAAGAAAATTCCTGCCCTAAGCCCCTCCTTCTCATTCCTTTTTCAGTTAAATGATGCATAATCTGATTCATGTACATGCATTCTCTGCTTCACTGCTAGCACCGAGCCTCTCTCTGTATATTTAATTTACACGCGTGCAGAAGGTATTCATTCACTCTGTGTTTATCTACTCATCTATTTATTTAGCTGTGTGATATCTTCGCAGAGAAGATATGCAAACACAGAGGAAAATTTCAGCATATTAAAGGTGAATTAAAGTTTATCATTTAGCCTTGGCAGGATTTATTGTACCTTTTAGAATAGAAAGCTTTTTGCAATCAGAGAAAAACAGAAAGGAAGAAAGTTACCTGAATGTCTAAAATGAGCTAAAACATGGGTGTTTTCTTCAAGAAGCTCAGTGTGAGCCAGCTCTTTTCTTTCAAAATAACATTGCTGTAACAACTGAAAGGTATAAATTCATCACTAGAAGCACCTTTCACGTTTTCACTGCAATCTGTGATGAAGGATGTTAGTATTAATGTTGAATTATGCGTGGTTCTGTGGATTGTATTCTCTAGAAATAGCCCATGTATGTCTTTCTGCTCTGCACTTGTAGTGCACTATACTAACACTGCTCTAGCCTCTGCAGTGTCAGCTCATTAGCACACAGATCTCATATTCCCTCTCTGCACTGTCATTGCAAAAAATTGCTGTTGTACACCTTTACAGCCAACAAATGTGCTCGTGCATTACATGCAGTTTTCAAGAAATATTTAGAAGCGTAGTCAATGATATACATAGTTCCCACGGAATTTCTCTAAAGAAAGCATTAGTTTTCATAAAAATCTGTTGATCATGTAATGATAGCGATGGGATGTGTACGGGAGAAAGGGAGTTTGATGGCAGAATCTCAGTAATCTACAGGCAGATTCCCTCTCTCAGCTGCACCCAGCCCACTGGCTGCATGTTCCTGTCCCATTATTTTTTCTGTCTTTTCTTGTGCATCTTCTGAGCTCAGAAGGCTGTTTGACTAAATTTTGGTGTAGTGTTTTTTGGTTTTTTTTTTTTTTTTTTTTTTTTTTTTTTTTTTTTTTTTTTTTTTTTCTGCAGGCATTCCTTTTTTAAGAAACCAAAAAGAAAGGGGAAAGACAAGAGGGTAAATGTAATTACATGCTTACTTTAGGTTGCTAAAATCACTTGACTGATTGTATGGGCACTTTCTTAATGGGGTCAGATTTCTGACTTTCTTTGAAAATCATTCTCTAGCATCCTGCAGTCCTTTGTTTAATGTTGAAGATTCAGCTCAGATTTCATTCAAAGTGCAGTTTGTTTCTGTGAGAACGTTACAGAAAATGATACCACAGGACTAGCAGCAGACAATTTTGCCAGATGAACTGCATTTTTTCTTTTTCCCAATGCCCAGGTGCAGATGTACATATATGTAAACATATATATATACATGCTCACTTGCATACTCAGTCACACATGTGGACTCCTCCATACACAGGGTTTTTCCTTACGTGATGCTCAGCATTTCTTTTTGCCAGCGGGCAGATAATTTGCTTCCCTTGCATCTGTGTGCTCTTTGGCCAGCTGGCAGAGGACACTGATGCTGAAAGTGGTCAGCTCCCTTCTGCCAAAAGCATAAGGATGTCTCTAACAGCCTTGCCAAGTTTGGGCCATGTACTGGTGTCTTTGCTCAGTAGGAACCACAGGGTAGATGCCTAACTCTCCCCATACAGATTGCGCTGTGGTTTCTGCCACTGTAGTAAAAGACCAAAAAAACTTTGCTTTCCGTGTTGTTCCATTGATTACAGATCCCCAAAGCTTTTTATGTTTGGAACTTGCTCAGGCATTGTTTGTTACTGCTGTGGCAAAACAGATCAGCTATTTTTAGCTTATGAGCCAAAGCTTTTGTAATACTGGGGTAGATAAAAGGGTGACAAAGGGTGTATTCCAACTGAGGTTTGTTTCTGGTTCATGGCAGAGCAGGAGATTTGTCATTAATGTGAAGTTGACTCAGCGTTAGCAGAAGAAACAATATTGTTTTAAATTGGTTTTTATTATTTTGTAATTTTAAAATGAGCTGGTTCTCCTCTCTCTCCTCCTCCACTATGTACTTATGCATGTACATGTTAGATGTTGGGATTAAATTTAACTCACGTTGTAGAGAAGGAAGAAAACGCTGGGCACTTTTTTGAGAAGTTCCATGAATTCACTGAATGAATGAAGAGTACATCATGAGGAGATTCATTTACTTGCTTGGTTTCAGAAAGATGCAGAGATCTATTTGTGCAGTTTTCCTATATAGCATAGGGTCTGGAGGACCTGTGAGACAGTTGGCATGGGTTGGAGAGCTGCTGATTA